ACAATTCAGCATTACAGTCATGGTAATACTTATGATGAGATGGCTAAGAGTTAAAGTAACCAATGTTTCGGTCTTGCTGCATCTTTTCACAACTGTAGGATTTCCAGTCTTGAAATAATACACAGTTCTATCAAATTAAACCTGTATTTTATTATAATAGGTCTGTATGATACTAATGCTTATTTGTATTTTTGATTGATATGTGTGTGTTAAATTTTACTAGAATGAAGAAAAACAGTGCCATTGGGCCCATTGATCTCTTTAACTTGTATAAAAACTGTCTTTTACTAAAAGTAAATATTAATTTGACACATCATTTCTGAAGTTTAAGTTCTCTAACAAGGTACAATACAGGAAGGAACATGGAACCCGATTAGAAAGTGCTATCCAATGCTGCACGTATATTTATGCCTTTTGTCCAACCAAGCATCTCACGTACATAAAACTATAAACGTATTGCTTTTACAATAACATGTACTGTCTGCCTAGTTTGTTTTTCTTATGGCACTTGTCAGCTTAGGAAATTTCACTTTGTAACTGACCTGTTAAATCAATCCTGCCCTTCAAGGTCTGAGCAGTGTAACAATGTGGCATCCAGAACTTATCCAGATTAGTAGAGAGCAAATGAATTTCCTTCTGCTCCTCTGTTAAAGAGGAGAGAAAAATTCTTCAACCCATAAGTGCTCAGAAAGCATCCTACTATTCTTTACAGTAGACTAATTGCAAGCTCATGAGTTCCTAGGGACTGCAGAGTCCAAGGCAAATCACACTGGTCCCTTGTGTTTACACAGGGGTCAAAGCAAGTTCAGAGGAATAGCCCCATGGGGATGGGAAGCCTCCAGATATGCAGGTGAAGGAAAGGCCATGCAAGAGAAGCATGCAGCCTCCAGGAACTTGCCTTGGTGACTGGGGTGTGGGCTTTTTTGTTTTGTTTTGTTTTGTTTTTGAGATGGAGTCTCACTCTTGTTACCCAGGCTGGAGTGCAATGGCGCGATCTCAGCTCACCGCATCCACCGCCTCCTGGGTTCAGGCAATTCTCCTGTCTCAGCCTCCCAAGTAGCTGAGATTACAGGCATGTGCCACCATGCCCAGCTAATTTTTTGTATTTTTAGTAGAGACGGGGTTTCACCATGTTGACCAGGATGTTCTCGATCTCTTGACCTCGTGATCCACCTGCCTTGGCCTCCCAAAGTGCTGGGATTACAGGCGTGAGCCACCGCTCCCGGCCTGGTGTGGGGATTTTATGGCCTCATTTTGTGCCAAAGCCACTCCCTTTCCCCAGACTCACTACTTCTCAGAGTCCCTCCTGACCCCAAAAATTAGGACAGAAAATCAGAAGGCAGTCATCCCAATTTCTTAAAGTCATAGGAACAACTCAGCCAGAGCCAGCTTCCTGGGCATGCAACCTGTGCTGTCATAAAGGGCTCCAGGCTTACAAGAGCCCCACACTTGGCTTAATGCTCTGCTATCTCCATCTTGAAATTCTTGAGTCTTTGAACGAAGACATTTATTTTTGAATACCCAGATATTGTATACAAAGCCATAAAGCATTTTGGCATAAGAACACAAGCTGTTCCTCATCTTAGTGCCCTCTTAACAATGTTAAGAGAACCAAAGGAATTTGTCGGTAGAAATTATTAGGTCTAATTTCTAAAATGAGCCCAATTTTCAATAAAAATTAAATTTTAGGGGCACTATGATACAGGGATATTTTTCTAGGATATGTGTCATTTTTGTTTTCCATCTGGTTTATTTTGAGATAGTATGTGGTTTGCTAGATATTTCAAACCAGACATACAGTATAGCTACATAGAGGTCACTGTAGGTTTTTAATTTTTTTTCATAAAGTGAGAAAACCTGGGTGCAAACCTAGGTGTTAGATACACCAAGGAACAGTGTCAACCCTCTACAGAAGTGAAGACTGTGAGGTTTCAAAGCATCCCTTTACCTCCTCTTTCAGTATCCCTTTATCCTATTATGTTTGTACCCCTTTCTCCTCTTAGTAAAAATAGTTAGATTTGTGGAAAACTTACATTATAAAATATGGTATCCTCTGCCACATGATTTGAGCCAAAAGTCTACATCACATTTCTATATGGCTTTGTTTTCTTGTGACCTTAAGGTTAAAAAGCTATCTCATAATCCCTGTAAAATTATTACCTGGTAGTACTAACCTAAGGTGTGACGTCTACCTGTGATGTTCTGCATTTTAATACTTTATAAATACCTCAAAGTCTTAAAGATTCAAAGAAACGAATTTCTCCCAGAGCCATTGTGAAGCCCACTGACAAGCCAGTGGGTGCTTCCTGAAGCCCTTTGATTGCACCTGGCAGAGAGTTGCCTTTGCTTGAGAGAGCTGCTCATGATGGCCGTGTGTGGCCAAGAAATAGAAGAAACCATTCCAGTGATTCCTTGAGTTCAGGCTGAACTTGAATAGCTCAGTAGTTCATCCAGACTAATGATTTAGACCTTGTCACATTGTCCCACTTGTGATAGATGCTAACATACAGGAAAAAACAATGTCCATGATTTTATATGTAAGTTTTCCAGAAATCTAACTTCTCCCCTTCTCCTTGCCGACTTTGCTTCCTAGTTCACTGAGAAAATGAAAGAAATCACTAGAGAACTTTTACAACCTCTCACCACATCTCCCACTTGCCAACAACTACTCTCCCAGATACTCTTCTCTTTGTATTAATGAAGAATTGTCCACATTTCTGTTTAAGGCCACTGAATACCATCACCTGCTCAAGATCATCACTCCCACAGTTCATGCCTCACTTCTGGATCATTTTCATCTACACACAACCATGCCATCTTATCTTAATAACAACTCCCTCTCTTGGCCCCACTTTCTGCCCAGGCAACTGTCCATTTCTATTTCTGTTCACATCAAAACTCCTTGAAAAACTTACCTACCCTTACTGTTCCAGCTTCTTGCCTCTCATTCTCCTTCACTGATTGAGTCAAATTTTTGTTCCTGCTCATTCCACCAAAACTGTTCTTGTTAAGTTCCCAGTGACTACCATGTTGCTTAACTGGATGGTTTCTTCTCAGGCCTCTCAGCCACATCTCAGATAGTTCATCATTCCCTTCTCCCAGAAATTCTCTTTGCTTGGCTTACAGGATCCTAGGGCTCTCCTGATTTTCTTCCTATCTCACTGGCTGCTCCTGGTCAGATGCTTTGCTGACTCTTCCCTATCTCCTCATCCTCTTAACAATGGAGTGCCCCAACGCAAGCCCTCAACCATTTTTCTTCAGAATCTACCCTCACTCTTTTGGCCATCTTAGGGACACTCATAGCTTTAAATACCACATACATGCTAAATACTCTCAAAGCTGTCCCTTCAGCCCAGACTTTTCTTCTGAACTCCAGGCTCATATATCCAACTATTCCAACTTCAGTGTCCATCGGGCATCTCACTCTTAATCCTCATTCTGCTTTCCAAGTCCACTCTTTTCTCTACTCCCTCTAGTCTATGCTCAGCAGGCTAGCCAGACTGATCCTATTAAAAGATGGGGCAGATCATATCACTCTTCTACTTCAAACCCTACAATGGCTTCTGGCCACTCTTAGAATAAAAGTCAAAGTCCTTATCATGACTTATTTAGGCCTTACCCCATCTGCCCACAGTTACTTACTGTTCATTCTGTGCCAGCCATGTTAGCCTGCTCCTGGAGCAGGCCAGTCATGCTCATGTCCAAGGGCCTGCTCAGTTGCTGTCCCCTTTGTCCAAATTGCTCTCCTCCTAGATATTTGTATGGATTCTTCCATTGCCTCTTTTTTTATTTTTTTTGAGACGGAGTTTCGCTCTCGTTACCCAGGCTGGAGTGCAATGGAGCGATCTTGGCTCACAGCAAACTCCGCCTCCTGGGTTCAGGCAATTCTCCTGCCCAGCCTCCTGAGTAGCTGGGATTACAGGCACGCGCCATCATGCCCAGCTAATTTTTTGTATCTTTAGTAGAGACGGGGTTTCACCATCTTGACCAGGATGGTCTCGATCTCTTGACCTCGTGATCCACCTGCCTCGGCCTCCCAAAGTGCTGGGATTACAGGCCTTGACCACTCTTAAAATTGCAATGTGCCTTCTTATCCACCTTCTCTAATTTACCACTCCCCTTGGCACTATTGCCTTCTAAATATAGGTTTTTATGATTTACTTTATTATGTCTCTCACACCCCCAGAATATAAGCTTTATCAGGGGTGGGATCTCCATTCCCATGCCCAGGTCAGCACCTAGAGCCACAGAAGATACTCAGTACACACTTGTTAAGTGTTGGATGATATATCTCTGTATCAAAGAACATAGCCTGCATGTGATTTTCAGAAAACCCGTTTTCCAAAGGTAGGGATCAGATCTGCAACTAGGGTTCTTTCTTAAGCTCTTCACAAAGCTGAAGCACTGGCTATGAGGCAGACCCTTGTTTGTGTGGTGGGCTGAGCACTCCCTGTGAACCCTTACTGTCCAGTCACACCACTGAAAGCTCTTTCCGCTGAACATGTGAAATTTAAACACCGGGCAACATTTTTACTATTGAGGAGTACTCTTTTTCAGGAGTACTTAGTTATGTTTAGGCAGCTTTGTTTTCCACAAAATACTTCTTTTTAAATGTTATTTTATTTGTAGCAATAAAATAGGCTTCAAGATTCACATATTATCTCTTGCATTTATTCTCCTTTTTAGTCACATCAAATAACTGCACATTTAAAATAAATAATTGCTGCCCACCACAGTAATACATCTTCTTTTCATTGGAGGTTGTAGCAAAAAAGTGAATTCTGGAAATGCTTGTGTGGACAATAGCAACCCACCCTCAGGCTGGGAATACCTGCTGGCTGCTTCTTGAGAAGCAATACCTGAGTCTATAGGGCAAAACAATGCATTTGAGTAAATGTGAGAAAAGAATTGAGAATGTGGAATTTCATTCTCCCAGTTCTGAGTCAGAAAAGGGCAAACTGCCCATAGTTATCCACCCCTTCCCCAATTATAACAAGAAATACAAGAAAAATTTGTAAAATTTATTCACAATGCAGTTGTTGAAAGGAATAAAACAGTTGGTAATGGCATCTCACTTTGAATTTGATTTATAAAAATATTAGGGAGCTAATTTTTTTGTATTTTGCTATTTCATTTGGGGAATGGTGAAGAGAGAGTCTTTTTTTATACTTAAATTTCACAGTATGGTCTGGAATTCCGAAAATGTTGTGTCAGGGGTGATCTGCGTATTTCTGGACTTGACATTTGATAGAAGTTGGGTAGACGAATATCATAGTGATATCTTTTTCCTATATAAACTCTGTCATTCAAGGCATAGAGTTTATCTGCAATGTCACTGCCAATTAACACTGAGAACAGGCGGGAGATATAACGATGCTGAGCAAAGAGCAGATACAATTTCTTTCTCCTCCAAGACACATATCGACAATCAGTTTCTGCAGTGAGGGTTACCTAAAAAACACAAGACCACACATAAACAGATGAGGAGGCAAGAAAACTTCTGTCACATTTTTTCTACCGCAAATGTTAAATTAATTTCACTTGCTGCCTTTCTTTAGGTTGAAAAAGCGCACTGACCTACAATATATTGCAAGAATGGGAACTACAAAATTTGTCACTACATATATAATTTATAATGTGAATAATCACAATGTTCTAGCCACCTTCAATCTCTCTGTTTTTCTAAGTTCAAGTATCTATATTTTGCATTTTATTGATGGGAGAACGACTTGATATTTTAAAAAATAAATTTGGCTAATGTTACAGAAATATTTCCAAGTCAATTCTGAAGACTGTGGACATGTAACCCTAAAGCAGTTTCTGCAGTACAAAATAGAATTTATTTAACTAACTTGCATATATATTTGAGTCTGTGGCATATACACATATATGTAGTTATAAGAAAACAGTGTAACAAATAAATGAAACCTGCTAAAATGATTATCTTTCAAAACTGCCAGATGTGGCAGCAGAGTAATGACAGTAAGTTTAGCATTCCGTTGCTAGAAAACAACTGAAATCCACTAGTATTTTAAATTTTAAAAAATCATTTATTTTTTAATAAGTGCAACTTTTTTTTGTTCTTGATGTTTTCTAGACTGTAGCATTAGCAATGTTTACCCAGCTCTCAATGAGTTATATTTTAAATATAAATATGCAGTTATGCAAAGTAAAGCATAAAGTATTGATCACAGACTCCTTCCTGTCATATGTAGTACCTGTTCTTCTCACTGCTGAACCTATAAAGTGGCATTAATCCTCAGGAGTCCAACAGAATTGGGAGGTCATGTACGCTGCAAAGTACATTCCAAAGTCTTTTTTGAGACAGAGTCTCACTCTGTTGCCCAGGCTGGAGTGCAGTAGCATGATCTCAGCCCACTGCAATCTCTGCCTCCTGGGTTCAAGTGAGTCCCCTGCCTCAACTTCCTGAGTAGCTGGGATTATAGGCACGTGCCACCACACCTGGCTACTTTTAGCATTTTTTTTAGTAGATACAAGGGTTCACCATGTTGCTCAGGTTGGTCTCGAACTCCTGACCTTGTGATCTGCCCACCTCAGCCTCCCAAAGTGCTGGATTACAGGCATCTGCCACCACACCTGGCCCAAAGTCTTAAATTATTCTTGTCTTATCCACTGTTGTGTTTGTTTGCTTATTTTTAATAAGCAAACATTATCTGTTTAAACAAACATTATCTGTTTGGAAGAGGGAGTGCTAACCTTCTGATCCAGTTATCCCTTACCTGAAAAATGCCTTCCTCTGTGGGTCTCAGTGAATCCCACTCAGGAGAATCCAGGAACTGAAAGGGGAAAATGTAATGCAGAAATTCGCCATCAACTGTCACTCTGATCCTATCAAAACACAAGAACATCATTTATAAGGGAAGGAGAAAGAAAGCACATAATTGGGCAGGGGTAGGGGGTATTTCAGATCCCTGATGACTGTTTTGCCCTTTACGATTTTGAAAGGCAAAATATTAAATTCATACATTATATTAAGTGACATAATATCCTTTAAGATTCATGTTCTTATGTTCCTGACACAGGATTCTGGAATACTGAGTGAAATTCATCAGAAAATGCATCAAGTTGTACATTTATGATATATGTCTATTTCTGTATGCATATTATACTTCAATTAAACGTTTTAATGGACTCTGTCAGATTTTAAATTAAGTAGGGAAACACTTAAGAACACAGAGGAGTTCTGCTGCAAATACCTCTGTAAACCAAATTTTTATTTTTTAACTTATTTTTATTTATTTATTTTTTGAGACCAAGTCTCACTCTGTTGCCCAGCCTAGAGCTCAGTGACACAATCTCGGCTCCCTGCAACCTCCTCCTCCCAGGTGCAAGTGATTCTAGTGCCTCAGCCTTCCGAGTAGCTCAGCTTAAGGTGTGCACCACCACACTCGCTAAGTTTTTTGTATTTTTAGTAGAGATGGGGTTTCACTAAACCCAACCAGATGTTGGCCCAGCTGGTCTCAAACTCCTGACCTCAAGTGATCCACTAGCCTCGGCCTCCCGAAGTGCTGGGATTACAGGCGTGAGCCACAATGCCTGGCCTATAAACCAAATTTTTAACTTTTGAAAGCCACGAGTAATCCCATTATTGTTTCCTCTCCCAAACTTTGTTTTCAAAGTTTATTTTATTTTATTTTTGAGATAGAGTCTTGCTCTGTTGCCTAGGCTAGAGTTTAGTGCCATGATCTTGGCTCACTGCAACCTCTGCCTCCCAGGCTCAAGTGATTCTCCTGCCTCAGCCTCCCGAGTAGTTGGGACTACAGGCATGTGCCACCATGCCTGGATAATTTTGTTTTTGTCTTTTTAGTAGAGACAGGAGTTTTACAGTGTTGGCCAGGCTGGTCTCGAACTCCTGACCTCAGGAGATCCTCTCACTTTGGCTTCCCAACGTGCTAGGATTACAGGTGTCAGCCACAGCACCTGGCCTATTTTCAAAGTTTAGATTTCTATATATGTTCCTGAAGTGCCCCACCTCCCGCCCCCACAGTCTACTTCTCATGGGCGATTGTTAGAATTTACTGAAGAAAAAACAAAAAAAAGACAATAAAATTTAAATGTTCTCTGTTACTTAAAAGAATGCCTTATCAAAGGGTTTTTTAAATACTTTGACCGCCAATGTAAGTATTCTATTAATTGAAGCACTGAAGCTGACATTATCCTCTTCTTGACTTTCAGTAATTATCTAGGAAACAAATATCGCATCCAGAAAAACTAACTCATACTTTAAAGATTCATGTAATTTGATTTCTAAGATGAAATATTAAAGCTCTTGATTATTTTCGGCTTCAAGTAAATAATGCCATATACTCTAAATGCCTATGTCTATGTCTATGACTCACGTATCACAGACCTACTAAAGCCTCAGGGCGCTAAATGCCACCCAGGACTATGCTACACAGACAGAAAAATATAGTGGAAAGAAACACAAATAGATAACTAATACTTGAGAAAGACATGCAAGCACCAAAAGTACAAACCTTCCTGAAACAAGCAAGGAGAGTTTATCAATGGAAGTTTTCCCCTGCATGGCATAACAGTGTTCCTTTTCCAAAGTAACCACTTCAGAGCTCAAAGCAATCGTTCTGAAGACAGGCAAAGAGATCCCCAGGGGCTGAAAAAGGGAGCTGTACAACACTTGGAATTCTCGGGCAAAGGTTATGCTGCGAACTTGATATGCAATATGAACAAATTGCATGAAGCAGATGACAAAGAGTACAAAATTCCAGGAAAATATGTCAGCTGCACAGACATCTACCCAAGCCCAGACAGCAGAACAGAGAAAACCCAACCCTAGCAAACTGAAGACATAAAGGAGCCCGAAGAATCCACTGCCACCCATGAAACCTACTACAAATAAAATACTGGCAAGATGATAAATGGCTCCTTCGGCCTCTTGCTTCCAGGTTGTGCAGACTGGGTGTTCATCTATTAGGTTCTTCCATAAACTTGAATTTCTTTCCATGGCTGTATTACTCTGCCTGGTTCACTTTTCAGTTGACTTTAGATGACACTGAAACAGGTAACTAAGTCCTTTGCTTTTCCATCATGAGAGTTTTGCTCAGTCTTCACAAAATCAGAGAAAACTTGGATACTGAGTTGGTGCTGATTAAAGGTTTTGTGTGTATGGATCTTGAAAAACTAAGAATCCCATGCTTGCTTCTTTAAGTTCATCTGGGCTCCTTATTTGGATCCAGTCCACAAATATTCTGCTATTTCCTATGCAAGAGAAAAAAAGATAAAGGCTCTAATTCAACAAAAAGGAGAATTGTGACGTATATTTAATGATCAGCAACATTACTTAGCAAGCTGACCTCCTATTTTCATGAACTTAAAATATTTTAAGCACAAGTGCTATTGGGTGTTAAGTTTCTATGGTATAAAAAGTATTAAAATTAGCTTCATATTTTTCAAGGTAGCTAAGTGCTCTATATTAATCTTGTCTCTATGGGAGTGATTCAGTGTATCTCAGAATCACTTGGGACAGTAACTAAAAATGCGGGCCGGGCATGGTGGCGTGTGCCTGGAATCCCAGCATTTTGGGAGGCTGAGGCAGGTGGATCACTTGAGGCTAGAAGTTTGAGACCAGCTTGGCCAACATGGCGAAACTCTGTCTCTACTAAAAATACAAAAATTAGCTGGGTGTGGTGGCACACGCCTGGCATCCCAGGTACTCAGGATGCGGAGGCACAAGAATCACTTGAACTCGGGAGGCAGAGGCTGTGGTAAGCCGAGATCAGACTACTGCACTTCAGCCTAGAGAGGCCAAGGCAGGCAGATCACGAGGTCAAGAGAGCAAGACCATCCTGGCTAACATGGTGAAACCTCGTCGCTACTAAAAATATAAAAAAATTAGCTGGGCATGGTGGCATGTGCCTGTAGTCCCAGCTACTCGGGAGGCTGAGACAGGAAAATTGCTTGAACCCAGGAGGCGGAGGTTGCAGTGAGCCGAGGTCACCACTGCACTCCAGCCTGGCGCCTGATGACAGAGTGAGACTCTGTCTCAAAAAAGAAAAAAAAAAAAAAGATATACATCAAACATTGCAGATTCATGGACTGCTTCCAGATATATGAATCAGAGTCACTGCAGGTAGGGCCCAAGTGTTTGTATTTTGAATAAGCTCCCCATTTAATTCTGATGTGTTAATCCATGGTCATCCATGGCCCACCCTTTGAGGGATACTGTCTGATAATGTTATTCACTCTTTACACATGAATTTGAGGCATAAAGAGGTCAAATAATTTATCCCAGGCTACACAGTGATCACTGGCAGAGCAGAACTTTGGCACTCATGCCCGTGTGCTGGGTCCAATCATGTGGCCTCTCATGAAAGATTTTTTAATTTGGCATGATAAGGAACCTAACTATATCAATAAACATAAGAAACATAATTAGAAGTCACATTCTAAGAGCATTAATTGACTGTGAAAATGTTTAATAAATTAGATGGAAATTATTTGAGAAATATAAATTTAGTACTACTTTGTTGTACTAGTGGTTATTTCAGGTTAAAGGTTGCATCATATAACTAAATAAATATTAATATTCCTGCTGCTTATGTATTTATTTACCAGATGGTCAAAAATGTTACCAACTCTGTTATTCTGCACATACATTCTCTACCCTTTCAGCCATATGGTAGAAATGCTAATATGTAATCTGAGTCAGGAGAGCATCAGCCATGACACAGCTACAGGATATATGTATCATTTGCCACCCGGTTTCCTAACAATAAATGATTTCAATGTAAAGCATTCATTACATTGATTTTTAAAAACCACAGTAACCTTCAAAAGCCTTGAACTTGTGCACTATATTTAGTGTTTTATTTTTGAAATAGATTATTTGCAGCACACCTGTTAATAAAATATCAGATATCACAGACCTTGCCCCATAGGAGAAAAAAAAAACACACAGAGGTGAAAATGACAGCTGGAGTAAAAAAATGGAACAGTATAATCACCGATAGAAGTAGAAATGGAAATAAAGGAGCTGTTGTTGAAGTTCCTGGTTTTTCATCATGGATAGTGACTCTTTTCTCAGTAAGTAATGACTTTAAGAACACTGCCAGGTAAATCACTAAAAAAAACCTTAGACTTACAACTTATATTGTTGTTTTTACTTGTTTTCAAATACAATTCAAACATCCTGCATATCCCTAATTATTCTTCTCCCCACCAATCTATGAGATGATAGTGATGAAATTCAAGACAGACCAGCATCCTGAACATGTTCAATTTCTACTCTTAAACAAAACACAAAATTCTGTTCTACTGGATATCACAACAAAGAAAAATTATTTTAAAAATACAATGAGTGGTGAGAACTGCAAAATACCAAACTGCAAATGTCAGTCTCCCTGCTGTTTCAAAACTAGGATATTTTAAATCAATCAATTCTTCAAGATACCAAACACACCCACGAAAACCAGTATTTAAAAGATTCACTAGTGGAGCTCTGAACTTTGGTTTGACCTTCCTTAAAAATTTATAATCCTCAGCAAATGTTAATATGATGCTAATAGAGAAAGGCCATGAAAACGTTCGTGGCAATTCAGAAGGGAACTTATGGGAATCCTGTCTCCTTAAAAATCTTGATTTGGAGGGCATATTGGGGCTCCTATATTCCAGGGTCATGACCCATTATGATAATAAGGGGAACTGTGCTTCCACCTTTTCTAATCTACTTCATGTCATTCAGCTGCTACCAAACCATCTTTTTATCCTTGATACTGTACTGCTCAATGCAGTGTGCTGACTTGTCCTGATTAAATTACTCCACACCCGGCCCTTCTCCACTTGGTGTGTTTTTATTCAGTCACCAAAACAGATATGCTTTATTAGAAGTGGAAGGACTGACAGGGGCAGGTGATTAGCGGGAGTGTCCTTCTGACATATGCCAGCAGCACTATATGAATGTTGAACATGATTCATCAACCAGCTGTCTGCCTTAAAGGCCTGTAGGCCTGAGGTCATGTTTTTCGTAAATAAATGCTGACATTCCAAAGTGGCACAATGGATTTCTTTCCTAAGCAATAAAGTTGATCTTTACTGCAAAAGAAGTTAGCACACCAAGCTACAAATGATGAAGACAAATTTAAGTGCAAATAAACACAGTTATTCCAAGTTCATCAGGTTTTTTTTTCTCTTTAAATTGTTAAGACTACAAGTAATAAAGGAATAAGAAAATGTAAATGAAGATACAAGGATGCTCAATGAAATGCGATGTAAACCTGCTGGCAATTTGATGAAGATTCGCTAGAAATTGCATTTATTGCAACAGAACTTTTGTGTTTATTATCTCATTGCTTCACACTCATTGCCATGAGGGAGGCAGAATCTAAATCATCAGGCCCAGCTTACAAATGAGAAAAGAAGGGCACAGGTTGGTTGAGTCTCTGGCTTCAGGTAAAAGAGGTGTAAGTGACCTACAGTGGCATGGAGCTCCAGTTCCCTCCACCCCTCTTTAGAGCCTCTCCAACATTCAATGCCAGCTCTCAAGGCTGTGAATCAAATATTAATGTTTTGGGGAACCAAAGTGGGATATTCTTTCAGGGCTGCTTTGCCAAGAAAATAAAAATCCTAACCATGGATATTTCAGACTTGCCCTCTATGTTCTTGTACTGCTCCGTTCGTAACTCTTAGAATACTGCGGGGGACACAGTAAGCCACTCATGAATAATTTGCTGTATTATTCGATATTGACTTGTTTCTTCTCCTAGACTGAAATTTTAAAGGGCAGCAGGGGCAAAGACAAATGCTTTTGTATTTCTGAGCCCTCGCATTCCATGAATTTGGCTTAATACACTCCCTTCTCCTTTCTCACCCTCTATCCAATGTAACAGATGTTATAACATCTTCTGTCACTTACCGGCATAGAATTGGGGGAATCCAAATGTCCAAGATGTTTAAGTACAAAACCACAGAGGAGCTGGGGCATCATTTTTTCAAAATGTCTGGCACAACCCCAAATGCACAGGGGAATCCTTTTGTCTGTTCACAACCTTGAGCTCCTTAAGAGCAGTTTACTGCTTTGATTAAAAACAAGAACTCGGGTAGTCAGTGGTATTGAGTTAATTTTGGTTGCTAAGCAACCCACAAACTCAAAATTCCGTCAATATTCTACTCATTAATTAGAATCAGCTCTCAACTTTGGTATGTGTTTCCTATGCTAAATTCTCATTTTCTTAAGCTGGTTTTTTCTGCTTGTCCTTGAGGTGGTACATTTACTCAGCAACTACGTGCCAGGCATATTTTTAAAATTACCTCATGTAACAACCCCAGGAGGAAAGTACTGTTATCTCCATTTTACAGACAAGAAAATTTAAATTCAGAGAAAAAGTTAAGTTGTTCAAGGTCACATTGCCTACAATGGAACTAAGATTCCACCCAGGTTTGCCTGATTCCAAAGCTCATAGTGGGTCCTACATTATTTTGCTTCCACTACAAAAGGATTTAGAAAATGTAGCTTTAGTCTCCTCTCTGTGACATAGGTGAACCCCGGCATGTTTATTCATTGGTAACACATGGGAAATATCATTTTATTCTATCTACCTAAAGAATACTGGAGGTTCAAATGAAAATTAAAATTATTTGCAAATTTAAAAATAATATAGAAATAGCACCACTATATTTGTTGCTTTTGTGTTACAGAGCTGGGCCATTAGAAGAATAGAGTTTTTATTGTTGTTGTTGTTATTTCATTTTGTTTTTTGAGACAGAGCTGCACTCTGTCACCCAGGCTGGAGTATAGTGGCACAATCTTGGCTCACTGCAACCTCTACCTCCTGGGTTCAAGTGATTCTCTTGCCTCAGCCTCCGAATAGCTGGGATTACAGGTACCTGCCACCACCCTGGCTAGTTTTTGTATTTTCAGTAGAGACAGCATTTAACCATGTTGGCCAGGCTGGTCAAGAACTCCTGACCTCAAGTGATCGCCCTAGCTTCCCAAAGTGTTGGGATTATAGGCATGAGCCACTATGCCCAGCCAAGAGTATAGTTTTTAAAATGCTTTCTTTCCTCCGGATGGTAACAACTAAAGACAGAAATACAGATGAGTCACTTTTGGCTGCAATCAGTCTTTAAATTATAAATCCTAAACTAACTCATTTCTGCAGGGATCGTGATCTCTGTGTTATTCTCCCCTGTCTTGTGTGTTCTGACTTCGTACTGGTGGTAGATACAGCTACGGTAACCATGCTACTCCTGAGTCTCCATTT